AAAGCTAGCGACGTGAAATTTCGAATATATATTTATTAAAACCTAGGTGCATAATGTTATAAATTTCGTGTGATGTTGTTATGTAGGTTTTTTACTAATTAGTGTAAACACGTGATCAAATACTTTTGTCCAGGGAGTGTATCATTAATTCCTAATTTTTGCTTCTCAAATTTATTCAAAAGTGATGGATCTGCAGTATGTAATTTTTTCTCTTCTAAAACAAGAATGCATCTAAAGTCCTTGTGAACAGGTCTAATAAAATATTTGATGTTTTGTTAGTAAAACATAATAATATTTGTTTGTTTATCATACATACAGCATAGTAGCTTCACATGTGCCAAGTGTAACTCTAATATAATACTTAGAATCATTATTGCTTCCCATAACAATATAATTTTGATTCCATAAATCATAAAGACTTTCTATCAAGCACAAAAATATTAATGAATAAATTATTATTCATTATCATTATTACTATTATTATTAGAAAAGATTTCAAATAAAAATCTACTTGCCATAAATGATTTCTAAATCTGTTAAAATCAATGGTATTCCTGCTTCAACACACATCTAAATAATGTCAAATAAGTACTAATTTAAATAATAAAAAAATAATAACAATAATTTTCTGAACCTACCATAATTCTATTTAAAACATTATATGAATAATCATCTTTATCTTCAGGAAATTGTGATCCTAATATTATAACAGGATCCAACTGTTTTTGTTGCAATTCAAAATTTAATATATTCATCATTGATTCACTTTTTCCTATAACCATTAAATGTCTTGCACTTTTATCATCAAAACTTTCTCTGATTAAATTTAAAACAGGTATATGTCGATACATTCTATATTGATGATTATCAAATGCATTCAATACTTCTCCAAAATATTTTTCACATAATACTTCATGTTCTCCAGCTCCACCAAAATTATGTGCCAATGCCATCTGAATATTATCAGTAGTCATTTCTTTTGATGAAAGACTTTTAACCAAAGCATAATAATCTTGAAGACCATGGAAATTAGGAAGAGTTTGCCCATTTTGTTCATATTCAGAATATGTCACAGCTAATGATTTTAAACCTGCTCTTTTAATATCTTTGTTTATTAATAAATGTTGTGCTGTATCAACTAAATCATCCAAATCAAATTTAGGTCTAATTAAATGTGTTTAAATGTGTGTTTATAAATAAATTTATTATAACTCATGTAATAAAACTAATAAAATCAAATAAAATATAATACAACAAACCTTTGTACTAATAGAGCTCTACTACTTTTATTATTATCTAATCTCCAATTTGAAATGCCAATTATAGAAACTTTTGGACCATCTTCTGGATTTTGTGAAACTACTGCAAATTTTCAAGACTTGAAACTAGATATACAGATTGATGCTGGACCTTACTGTTATTATGGTTATTATATTATGCCTTCTTATAAGAATAATTTGAATCTTAGAAACAATCATAAACTTATTCATTTGTTAAAAGAATGTGAATATACAAAATAACAAAAAAAAATTAATTACTATATAATCTAGAATTAAACATCATCATATATTTAAACATTTAATTCTGTCATTTTATCATTTTTAATAAAAATATAATAAATACTTTGCTATAATCATTACATCTAAATTGACTGATTGATTCAGAAGCTGTTTAATTTTCAATCCTTTTCCTAACTCTACACAATGCATAACACAATAAATATCAAATTCAGAAATTTTTCTATATAACATGTTGTGAGATCTGCGCCAGGTAAAATCACAATTTTTGGTTTTAAATTATGTCAAAATGTAAAAGATGTGTATATGTTTACCAATAAAATCAACATATGTTGTTAGATTAGGGATGGGGCGGTTTCACAATGGAACCGAACTGTTCAAGCGTCTGAGTCGACTCAGAATCAGCTCAAATGTAGCACAAGGCAGTGTTGTGCCATTTATGGTTCCAATAAAATTTCATTGGAACATTCCAACAAATTCTAATTGGAATTGGAATGTTCCAAATGTGGTTCCAATGAAGTTAACCAATGAAATTCAATTAGAGTGTCTCACACACAAATTTTATTGGTCAATATCAATTGAAGATCTACATTGAAACCATTGGAGCCACATTGGAACATTCCAATAGCATTACAATGTTCCAATTGCACAACACTGCTGATTGGTGACACTGTGAATCGAGGGAATTACACAGTAATTACCCAAAAACCCGAAATCACACGAAATTTCCCCTAGCGAGAAAATTTGTGTAATTCCTGAATTACTAATACAAATTTTTTATTCCTAAATTTCTTTTGCCATGAATTTTTTCTAATCTGATACACTTGCTGCTATCTTTTCCAAAATTTATTAACTTTATTTTGGAGTTTGTGTTCTTTCAGGTAATTCCACAATTAGTTTGTTGTATGTAACACCACTTAGAAGGTTATTTTTGTATAAATAATGCATCAAAGCTATACATGAAGTCGAATTAAAACCCCAAAGTCAAAATGTTTCGATTTGAGGCTACTACATAGTAAAAATCAGTTTTGACCTTATTTTGACCCTATTTTGACCAGATCTGCAAATTGTTGAAATAGTTTCAACTTCATGTATAATCAAAGCATGATCATTTGATGCATCCTCTACATATGTCCATAATCCAAGCTATTGTATTGATTGTTAATAGAAAGTTAATAGTTATCAATTATATATGATAACAAAAAAATTATTTGGTATATAGGGTGTTACATTAGTACATCCAATGCTTTTCAACATTCTTCTCCATGCACTCAATATAGTATCAATAATTTCAAAATTTGATGGATATATAGAGGTGAGATGTGAATTTAATTTAATAACAATTGTTGACTGTTCTTTCCATCCAATAAAAAATTGATGCCAATTTAAATCAAAAACATATATTTTTCTTTTTAGATGCTTTTCAAATGCAGGCATCATGTTGTTGATATAATCCCATTCAGAGAATGTGCAGCAAGGAGCATCAATATAATTTTTAATTTTTTGTATTGTAAATGAATTAATAAGTCCAAATAATTCTTTATTATCAAATAATGCTTATTTATTATAATAATAATCATAAATAATATTTTTATAATAAATAACAAATTGCAATATTTATGCTATTCAGCATTTTCATCATTTATTAAAAAAATATTTTAACTATCTAATGTTATTAATTATTAATTATTATATAGCTGAGTTTTAAATAATAATATCTGCTACAATTATGCTATCTATTGCATCTAAATAAGTAATGAATAGTGGTAATGTACTATTTAATGCTATGAATGACATATTTTTAATTTCCTGATGATAATAATAACAGCATTATGTAAACAATATAGATTATATATTAATATCATGGGTCAAAACCAGCATAGTGGAAGTTTGTTGTTACACGAAATGTTATACAGAACTCATTGCTTCACTAGTATATAGTTGTTACCTCTCTAAATTGGAGATCAAGTTCAGATCCGATTCAAATCCAATTCATCACTTACTTTTTATTGCCAGAATGTTTGCCGTGTATTGTAAAGTTACGTTGCACAATATAAAAAATTAGTGCAACATTTCAAATATTTTACTTGGTGAATTTGAACTTTGTTAATAATATGACTTTATTTTTAATAAGTTTTTTTACATATTAATATAGTTAAAATTATAGTTCTCGGCGATATATTATATTCATATAAATAATAAAAGATAAGTCATGTTTTATTTAAATATATCACGAGAATTTTAATAGAACAAACATTTTTCAATAATATGATCGATCACGTTTACTGTGATGCCAACATTCGCTTTGTCTGGTTTGCATATATTAATATTGATTGATATATTAATATATGTTATACTACGGTGACAATAGTCGCAGTATCATCATCACATTCTCTTCCTCCATCCTCACCAACAAATATTAAGGACGAACAATAATGCCTTTTGATAAATTTGTATACTTCAACGAATATTTCGAATATTACTATTGCTCCTAATACTAATCCCCATTCCCAACTAAATCCTAATTGATGGAATACTTGAGTATTCAACCTAATTAATAACGAAACAAACAAAAACAACTTAATATATTAATAAATTGGTATTTTTTAATTACTTTTGCTAAAATGATGATTTACTACTTACCCAGGTATATATAAAGCTAGAATCGAAACAAGTGCATCACCAACCACTGTCCAAAATAAAAATTTATTATCCGAGTATAACCTCGTTGGCCGAAATAAATCTTTCAACGAACGACAGTTATAAGCACGTATAAATAATAGAAAAGTTAAAGTTGCAAATGCTACACCTCTCCCTCGGAAGACTTGTTCACATGATCCTCCTCCTCCCTCTTCTGTAGCCGTATAAGGATTCAAATTATAATTACATCCACTGCCTAAATTTCTATCACCCGTTACATAAATCACTAAAACAAAATTTGTTAACGTCAATCCACCAGCAACACACCCATAAAATATTGTATCAGCAATAACTTCCCATGAAAATATTCGACGATATCTACACGGAAGATATTTCATTATATCTTTTGATTCTCGTTCAGCTCCTAATGCGATTGCAAGTGGTGTGCTAGTAACCATATTTAAAAAAAGTATTTGCAATAGTGACAATGGATTTATGGGTAATCTATCAGTATCAATAAATGCCAATCCAATCATTAATACAATGATTTCCGATACATTTACACTTAATAGGTATGAAATGGAATTTTGCATATTTCCAAATATTCTACGACCTTCTGATATTGCATTAACTACAGTTGCGAAATTGCCGTCAGTTAATACTATGTCACTTGCTTGTTTTGTCATGTCATTTCCGCCCATTCCCATTGCGATACCAATATCTGCTTTTTTAAGACTTGGCGAGTCTTTACAAATTTTGTGGGAAAAGAGATAGAGAGAATTGAATACATTACGTAGAATAATATTATATTATTATAATGTTCATACCATTGACGTTGTTACCAGTCATCGCCACGAATTTATTTCTTCTGTGTAATGCCCCAATCATTTTCACTTTAGTTTCAGTACTACAGCGAGCAATAACTCTTGGCAATTCTTTAAGTTCATCAATCTGTTCATCGGTAAGAGCATCAAATTGTGTTGCTGTCATAACAAGTTGTGATTGTGATCTAAAATTATTATTGTCTGTTAAATAAGTCGAAGGAAGTATTCCTATCTTTTTAGCAATTGTTGCCGCAGTCAAAGGATGGTCGCCTACATTTAATAGAACAGATTATTGAATGAATTTATAAAATATTTATATAATGAATGCTTACCTGTTAACATGTGAACTTCAATTCCAGAACCAAAACATTTCATAACAGCTGTTTTTGATTCAGGTCTTGGTGGATTATAAATGCCAACAATTCCCAAAAATATCATATCATTATCTGTTTCCTCACGTGTCATTTTTGAAATTTCTTTATCTGTTTTATATTGATTATTTATTTTTCGATATGCCAATGATATTACATGCTAACAATAAATAGTATTTTAGCATTTTAATTATTGACTTTTTTTTTTAATAAAAATTAGAAATTAATAAATTTACCAATCCTCTACCAGCCAAACTTTCATGACCATTATTGATTTCCAGTTTAAATTTTTCATCATTAATAATTCCTTTCTTGACAATAACATCACCAACTTGAAACTTTGTACATTGTTTTAATACAGATTCAGTTGCACCTTTCAAAAATACACAATATTCATTGGTGAATTCATTTTTGTAAATGACTGACATTCTTTTCAGTTGTGTGTCAAAATGAAATTCCATTATTAATTTAAATTTGTATTTATCGCCTTCGAGTAGTGGCTTTGATAGTCCAACTTTATGTGCAAATACTTGAAGTGCAGACTAGATTAAATATATATATGGATGAATGCATGGGTGTATGATTATAATAATGATGATGGATGATGATGATGATAACAAAACTTTCTAACCTCAATTGGATTGCCCATAGCATTCCATTCACCATGAACACCACCACCTTTTCTAATGATGGCCATATTACAAAGAGCAGCAGTTTGAACTAATTTTATAAATGCATAGCTCATATCTTCCGATTTTACTTCTTCATCAGCCAACAACGCATTCCCCTTCCCCTTTTCATTTCCCATATTTTCTCTCATGTCATCATTATTGTCATTCTCTTCATTATCTTTATTAGAAAGAGTAGGACCAATCTTGTAGATTTTACCTTCTGGGGTGTAATCATCGCGACCAGTTATTTTGTAAAAACCCTCTTGTAACAACCAAACATTGGTTGCAATCATTTTAGTTTGTGTGAGTGTACCGGTCTTTATGAATTATGAATTAGTACGGGTGCACAAATTCAAGTTAATAAGTGTAAAATAAATTTTATAAAAAAAAATTTACCTTGTCAGTACAAATATTTGTCACAGACCCTAATGCTTCAAATGCACTCAATTTACGAAAAATCACTTTATTTTTGGCCATTTGTCGTAGACCTAAAGTTATAGTTAAAATAATCTTACATCAAAAGTAATATAAATAAATAATTGGGTATTTTAAGACTATTTCGAAAATCTTATCTCAATTAAAATATATAGATAAATGCTTACCACGACAGCAAGACCTTCAGGCAGTATAGCAATAATAACAGACACAACATAAATAACAATTTCTCTACTAAATTTCCATCCATTTACACCAAATACTATTATGGATAATAAAATAGCCACTCCAAACAATATATATGCCATCATATCTACTCTATACATAATGATGGCAAAAGATGTTTCCAGGTTAGAATTAGTTTGCTTTTTTTGCAAAAAAGATAATTTTAAATTATTGATCATTTACTTTTTTTGCAAAGGAGTCCTTTGTATAACAGATGATGATGATAAATTTTTTGCAACTTTTCCAATTGCAGTTTTCATTCCTGTACTTGTAACAATGCCTTTAAATTTTTAATCGAAAAAAATAAATGTAAGAATGGTTAGTGTATATAACTTGAAAAATCCAACATCATCCAACATGTTCATGGACTCATTACAAAACCTTTTCCTCTTCCTTTTGTTACAGTTGTATTAGAATATATTAGATCCGATCGTTCAACTAAAGTTTCATCATGTTCTTCAACCACATCAACACTGAGAAATCAATAGAATTACAATTGGAATCAACTATCATCATTATTGGATTGGAAGCGTGGGCAAGAGAAATGGACTGACAATATATACTTTACTTCTTCTCTTTTCTCCTCCCACAAATAATTATTATACTTACGACTTTGCAACGGGAGCAGAATCACCAGTCAGTAAAGCTTCGTTAACCTCTAAATTAAAACATTCAAATAATTGAGCATCCGCACTAATTACATCTCCTTCTTCTATTACTATTATATCTCCCTGATATTAAAAAAATTATAATAAGATTTTTGATGTAATGATTTTAATCTCAAATTTGAAAAATATCACGTGAATTACAAGGGATAGTGACACAAAGTTCGTAATAAATAGTTATATAGCCCCAATTAATACTAATACTTACAGGTACTAGAGTATTTACAGGAATAGAGACCAAAGCATTTTCCCTAATAACTCTTGCGGTCGGTGATGACATTTTCCTCAATGATTCTATAGTTTTTTCTGCTCGATATTCTTGAAAAAATCCAATTAATACATTTATTATCACAACAAATCCAATTATTACTATATAATATATATATTTATAATTAATTTTTATTCTATAAAATAATCAAATAAAAATAATTGAAATTATTATTATTAAACATACCTGCATCAACATAATCTTTCTTAATAAAAGAAAAAATCATTGCAACCAACAATATCAACATTAAAGCATTTTTCACTTGTATAAAAAAGACAGAGAAGACACTAACATTTCGTTGACGTGATAATTCATTCAATCCATATATTGGAAGGCGTGTTTCAGTAACTTCTTTATTTGTCAAACCTTCTTCAATATTTGTGTTCAAGTGTTTGGTTATATCTTCAATTTGAAGAGTGTTGTATGATCGTGTTGTTGGTTCAAATAGTGACGATGGTGTTTTAGAGCTTTTTATTTTTTTAGGTATCGAAGCCATCAAAAATTTTTACAGAAATTATATTTTTTATTATTCACCCCGCGTTAAATAATTAGAGTCAGCAGCATATTTATACTCCGTTGTTTTAATCTTGTATTATAAAAAATAAGAGCGATCATCGAATAGTTACGTAATGATACTAGTACTAACTAGTTGAAACTTAACATTTTAATATTAGTATTAATATGTGGGGCAAACATTGTGTAAATGTTCCTATTTTTTTTTTCGAGTTCTCTAACTGATTATGGGAGACCTTTTCTTTTAGAATATGAGAAAGTCTTTCTTTCTTTTTGGCTTGAAATTAGGAAGTATGGATTTTTATACGTAATTGAATAATAGTTGTCGAGCACCATTAGGGCATTTTGCAAAAGAATATTGCTTTTATAATAATCATTGAATAGTGAGTGGAATGACCTTTTCTACAATATCACTGTCACTAATTTTTTTCTTTGGATTTGTAATTATCGCTTTCTTGTTGTAGTCTGTCAGTTAGGCCATTCAAACAAGTTGATAGTTCATCTTTCTGTTTTTAAAAATATCTTATCTTTTATTTTTTTATTTAAAACATTATAATTGTTTTTTTTCTCAAGTATAAAAAAACGACCTACAAATTGACAGTTTGATATACATTCTCATTCCGTCTTTTTTCAACTTTTTCAAATCCTCTCACGGACCACTCTTTACCTTCCTCATCATCTCCTGTCGATTATTTTCATTTCAAGATTTTTAGTTGCTACTTGTTAATGATGTTTGTTCAGGCAAGGCATTTCTAAACAAAAGAATTACAACTTGTATGTAAATTTTAAATTCGCAAATATAATTGGTCAATTTCGAGTTGGAAAGTAATCACATGATTTTTTTAAAAAATAAAACTTTCAAGAAAACACAGAGGAATCAATAGAGCAGAATTGTAAGTACAAGCTAGAAAAAGGGGAAGAAATACTGTTCCCAATAACCAAAATCATTTTTATAACTAAAGATGGCTCCTCAATTAATTGCGGCATATAAAATTTAAATTGCAGCATATGAAAATCGAATTGCGGTCATTGTAACTGTTTAGAAATAACCATACGGATCATATTGTCATTTAAGATTGAACAACAAGAGCAACAACATCAGACTAATCATTGATGATCTATCAAGACAGATCTCCGAAAATTAAAGAAACATGTGTATTAGCAGGTGCTATAATCCAGTTTGTTGGAAAAAAAAAAGTGTCTCCAAATTAAAGCTTTAAATGAGCTGAGCTGGATTTATTATACTCAGCTCGAAATTTAATAATTTTTTTTTATTTATTATAGAATTTCTTAAACATACCATATATATATATAACTTTTTTTTTTAAAAAAGATATTAGACTGTAATCAAGTTTTTCTGTATGTAACTTGAAATAATCAAGCAGAGACCGTTAGAAAGTGTAACCAGCACTGGCAACAGTTTCGCATTATTGTTGCAATAATAACAATATAATAAGAAAATGGAAAAGAAAATTTATTTTATTTATATCAATGTTTACAATAAATTATTAAATTCATGTTTTAATGGATTTTTAAATGCGATGGTCGCCAAAACTATTTTGAAGAGGCGAAAGTCAAAACTAAAATTAAAAGTTACATGTCAAAATTAAACTAAAAGCCAAAAGTCAAAATTAGACTCGACTTTCATACAGTCACGAAGCTTTATAGTTTTGGAAACCAACATTAATTCACTTCCAGATTTTCAAAGAGATTCATAACATTTGTGCAGGATTGAGGAAAGTTTGGACGGAGAGAATAAATTAAGTGAATCAATGAAATAATTTATTTACCACTTTAGCTCAAGCTCACCAAATGAATGATGCCAAAGTAAAACTAGTGGGTTAAACTAGAATTACCAGCCTCATTTCAATCGTTGTTGATGAAGATGAAGGCAATCAATAGAAAGTACAATGTCAAATAAAGGAATTGACATCAGTAGTTTATTGGATTATTTATCGTAATTCGTACTATAAATTGTACTTACAGATTCACCAAACCTTTCTAGGTACAAGTAAGAGGAAATAGGCAGGACAAATTCGCAAAATAACTTATAGATAAGCATTGTATATCAAAGCTTGCAAATTAATCAACGAGTGTAACTAAAACGTTGACTCGAAATTGGCCATAAAACGTAAAATAACCGAAAAGCTATCTCGCAATATTACAAACACTCTATATAAAAAAAAAACTTAGGACTTTTCAGGGCTTTAATTCTCAGGTTTAAGTCACAAAATAGTAATAGGACTTCCAGTTCCAGGACCGGTTAAGCTTTAATTTCTAGCACGAAATTTCTTTGTGATTGGTCAATAATGATCGATGAACTAGAAGTTCATTCGTTAAATCATCACTCGTAAAAGATGGCATTTAAATCATCTTAAGATGAATGGGATTAATTCTCCTCGAAAAACCCTTCCACCAAACCAAACTAGACGGAATAGTTGGTGTTTTATGCTAAAGAACATATTCAATATTGGCATGATTTTTTTTAAACATGATATTCATAAAATGGGATTATAACGTTCGTTCATATAACTTTGAAAAATTCAAATGAAGTTGGGATCATTACAATTTATATCAATTTTATTTTAATTTATTTACTGCATGCTTAATATCCGAATTTTAAAAGGTCAGTTAAAAAAACAATGTTATTTGCAATTTTCTTCAAAATCAACATAATACAGTACCTTAGCAAAAGTTTCGGTCACCCTAAATACATCATTTACGCAAAAACGTACATAATAATTGCACAAAAAAATTATATCAACTTGTGGCATAAAGTTTCATATTTCTAGATTTTCCAGAACTTAAATAAAAAATAAAAAAAAGTTGATTATTTTTGAAAAAAAAAAAAATTTTGAAGATCAATTTTATTAATAGTCAATGTGCAAATCCTAAAATTTAAGGGTCATGTCGTTTTGCCAGAAATTTTGGCTGATCGACATTGAAATTTTACTAATAAAAACTCGAATTGAATGTCTTCAGTCCCTTATTTTATACCCTTGCTTTGTATCAATTGTCACCAAAATTTCCACGTTGTTTATTTTTCATGTTCTTTATTTTGTAAAAAATTTTCAAGTGAGGTTAATAAAAGAGCGGAAAAGAATCAAGGTCTCAAAGTTTTTTTTGTCTTTGTGTGACAATAGAAGATTCATGTCTTGCGAGTAAACTTGTAAAACTAGTGAAGTATTTAAATATTTTAAACATTACAATTATATTTAAAGAAAATTTAAATAATGAATAGTTTGACAAATAAATTATTAATTTTATTTTTATTATTTACATTTTTATTATATTTCTTATATTAATTACACAGGAAGGATGTTCGTTAATAGATACTTGTCATGTATTTATAATCGATTATTATATATACTCATTATTTGTGTTAATTATATATTATATTATTAATTTGATTCTTTTATTATAGATATAAATAATTAAATAGAATCGGGATAGAGATACTTGTAATTTATAATTCAATTAATATTCATATTAAAACTTTTGACTTTTTT